GGAATGAGAGCCAGACTGCCATGGCTCCTTCTTAATGTATCCCTCGTGGCACTCCCATTCCGCTGGGATCCCAGACACCTCCCCCCGCTCCATTCTTGTATTAAATTCTGGTCATTTGTGCGTATACCAGAGGAAGGTGCGGTGGCAAGTCTAGCTGAAAGTTCACGCTGCGACAAACACCCGTACCAGTTAGGAGTTAGCTAAAGGTTGCTTGATATGGGAGGTACCTATCGTCGAGCCCAACCAGGGAGTCTTATATGAGAATAGTAAGAAGACTAAATCCTTTGCGCAGCAGATATTTTTCAGAGGATCGGTATCGCGTAGCTGACTGGCAAATACTGCCATAGCGGTAACTGTCGATATAGTACCCTAATACCAGTGGCAGTGTGATTTAAGCTCTAATTTTCTCCCCCCTTCCGAGCTCGCAACTGATTCGTTGTTGGGTCTTCTGCGCTGGCGTAATTAAGGGCGTCTACCAATGAGCGCACAGTTGCCCACCTGCGAGTAGAGTATCGATCCCAGGAGCTATAGCACTGCCTATAATAGATGTGTGTGGATACGGCCACTGAGAATGCAATGCCCGATTAACTCGTAGCAGCAAACGTATAAAGTATGTAGTTTGAGCAAAGGGAAAGGGGGGTTACCTGCTCTGCCTGGCGTTCTTGTGAGTCCTGGAAGGAGGGGCTCAGGCGGTGTTGGTTCTGGGACAACTTCGACTGGCTGAGGAAAGGGGTTCGATGGCTGCGCAGTCACTGGTTCCTCCGGGATGACGGGTGGAGGAGGAGCGGGAGGTGCAGGTTCCGGCTCATTGTCCATTTCTTCTTCTTCCTCCTCCTCGGGCTCGTTTTCCGCAGCCTCTTCCGGTTGCGCAGCTGCTTCGGGCTCGGGTTCAGGCATCCGGAACGGACAGGCAGCGAGGGCTACAAAGTCAAACAAAACCTTGTGTGCAACAGAGTTTTTCTCAGTACGAATCAAATTTATTTGAAGCAGTTTTTCTCCGGTATGAATGTAAAAAAAGCGTAGACAGCAGGATTTAGTGAATTCAAAAAATTTCGCGACGGCTTTTAGACTGCATCCCGTTGTTGCATGAGTCAGATAACGGCTGGAAGCATACAGCAAATGGAATTGTACAGAATGCCGATGTATAACAGCAAGAGTCGTAGGTCAGTGTAAATAATGATCAAGCGAAGGGCATTACAGTAAATTAGCCTTTAGCGAGAAACAGGGGGAGAGTAAGTTGGCGCTATCCAATTCGTGATTAAAACTAACTGCCCAATTACCAAGGTAATTGGAGATTGACCATGTGATCTAGCTGATTGCATAGGTCGCGTTTCTCCAGCCGTATGTAGGTCGCTTACAGGTGGCGCAGGGTCCGATTAGTTCGTGTCCGAATAAGTACTCTGAAAGCTGTTTTAGGTCGACCAAGTGACTTCTGTCTAGCAGGTGTTTAGCAATCGAAGATTATGGTACTTTTTCGCCTTGCTTGAAAGGCCAGTTGCGTTTGCGTACAGCCAATGTACTTACATCCGCAAGTACACGTGAATTCATAGATACAGTTTTTTTTTTTGGGGGGGGGGCAACGGCAAAGCATCCTTTACCTCTTTTACCGTAAGGCTTTTAGTAGAACTGATGTAAACAAATTCAGCTGCATTGTACGTCCTTTCTATTGTGCATCGCAACCGTCGATTGATTTTATTCAAAATAATATCACCCTTAAAGAATAAGGATATAATTACGGGCTTTTTGGAACTGACTAGTCCGTCAGGATTGATCGGAAAGGATTGCTATACACTTGGATGAAATTTGCAGGATAGCTACGGTTAAGCAGGGTTGTTTTGATGCAGGAAATCTCTGTAGGCAGGGTTTCACTAGAGCAAATATGCCTTGCTCTTTGTGCCAGTTCGATGGAAACGAAATCCGGTACATACTCTCTTTCAAAGAGCGAAGAATAGTTGCTCTAGTGAGACCCTGCCTACAGAGATCAAATTTATGTTAATAATACAATCAAGGACATACCATGATCGACAACAATGCCGACGTTTCCGCGGAGGTTCATTTCGCTCACCGTCTTGGGGAAATGATCTGAGTCAAGTGGCAGACGCCGTCTCGGCCAATCAGTGGTCACAACAAGAGTGACGCATGGCAAGGTAAAGGGGTTGGTTTGGTGAGTAGTCAGACCGTTGGCCAGAACTCTATCCGGCTGCAGTGATGATAGGTAGGACTGGATGCGCTCAAGAAGATCGCCATATTTAGCGTCGGGAGGAAGAGGAAGAACCAATGGCGCTGGAGAGGCCTCACTGTCTGGTAAATGCCAATCGCTGGAGAAAGTGATCTGTGAAGAGGAAATATTATCCGAAAACGTTTAAAATGGATTCTCTTAATTTCTCTTTAGTAAGACTGGTGAATTCGCACATCTCCAGACTTCGAAAAAAATGAGCAATTCAGTAAGCGCATTACGAAAATGATTTCAAGGACCAAACTTCTGCAGTATTTACCGGCTTTTGGGTTGACGGCTTTATTGATCGGCACTGCCTTTACTATAATGTGAAACTTTCGGAAGATTAGTTAAGAGTAACAAACTGTCTAAGATATCGAACCGTTTCGGCTTTGCTTTCTCAGGCCGCGGCCGGCAGCGACGCAAGTTCGAGAGAGTATTACACGCGCGTTTTATACTACTTGTTCTAAGTTAGTAGCCATATTTCATTACTGCTTCGGCACAAAACCGTTTCGCTCGGAAGCATCTAATTGAAATATTCTATTTTCCTATAGGGAGCTCAAAGGCGGTCGCCTACCCTTCCCTCAATAAACTGCTACTGAAGTCAGAAGTTAATACTGAATCACCGCCGGAGCAAGTCTTTTTTGACTTGGTCATGACTGCGGCCTCAGATGGGTGGAGGTATAGAGAGTGCAGTAGACTGTTATCACTGTCAATTAAATCTCGCATTAGTCACATTCTCTGTGCCCACGATGTCGTACAGTACACGGTGGACATTTTTGCAACCATGATCAAACTGTCGTATAGCCTGTCGTCTACGTTATCGTGGCTTAGCCTTGTAGTTTCCTCTGTCGCGCAGTGGCGAGCTTTTCCGTACATAAAGAATGCATCGGAAGCGGTCAGCCGTCTGCTCACCCCACTTAAAGTTGGAGTTGCGCATAGGCCAGAAGCAACCACCAGGAGTCGGTTCATAACACCGAAAGATCCACTGCCACGGCAGGAAACGGCTGGAGTCGTTTACCGGATCTGGTGTAATTGTGGACAATCAGGAAACGGCTGGAGTTGTTTACCGGATCTGGTGCAGTTGTGGACAAAGCAACTACGTCGGAGAAACTGGAAGACTACTCCGGACGCGAATGGCCGAGTATGCAGCGGCGGTGGGGAAGAAAGACACCAACTCACAGGTTGCAGCTCACTCGACGGAACCCGGCCATATTTTCAACTTTGGCGAGGCCGAAATCCTTGCAAGAGGTGAAAACCGCGTGAGCCGCGAGCTGCTCAAAGTATGGTTCTCAGGCCCCCAGTCCACCAACAAGCGCAACGATTTGGCTTTTCCCCACTGTGTACTGAGACATTGCCTGAACAAAAGAATCGGTCACGTGAGAAGGGCCTGGCCCAACAACAACTCTAGCGGCAGTGAGCATAATTGTCACGCAATTACTAAGCCCGCATCCGACACAGGCAAGGAAATCGCGGCAAGTAATGAGTCGAACACGAGGTGTCAAGCCATCACAGCACCAATTGAAACCCAAGCGGTGGCTACAGGAGTGGATAATTACAGTACGCACGCGGATGACCGCTACGAACTATAAAGATCGTGCGATCCGTGCATGTTTCACACTTATCTGCGCCTGACTCAGACTAACCTACCATTACCTATGACTAAGGATTCCCGACAGAATCCGAAACGTCGGGACTATAAAACTCTTGTCCCAGTGTTCGCATCTCCTTCTTCTGAGAGGGAACATTATTATGAGGATGCGGTCGATGACTATATGTAGGAGGGAAGGCGACCTTTTGATGATATCGTTTTCAAAAAAGCTAATCCTATTCCGATTTAAATTCATTTTCCTTTGTCGGAAAGGCAAACAGCGCACGCTTTTTAAAATGTGAAGCTAAATGTTAGGCGCATCGTGAAGAAAAGCGCTGGCATCTGGGTTACCTCGATTCATCACTAACTGAAGCAACTTACTATCAACCCAGAGTGGCATAAGGATCTGAAAGGATTACTTACACGAATTTGTACATGTTCGGCAGATGTACCACCACCTGAAGGTGCAACGGGAGTTGCGAAAGACTGAGTCGGGTTTGAAGAGGATTCAGCCTCCATCGGTACCACAGCATTTGTCGGTGGTTGACTCAACCTTAAGGGAGACGGTCCTATGTCAATAGGAGGTAGCATTCATCGGAAACAACAGAGATGTGGGGATTTCATCCGGCATAAATATCATTAATAGCCATCTGTTGGTAGGGTGCTACTAGCCGGATGGAATAAAGAACGCTTAAACAAACAACTAGGCAGGATCTTCAAAGAAAAGATCTATTATCCAAAATACATGAACTATTACGATGAGGTGGTGTGGGCGCATGTGGGTTGGCTGCAAGCAGAGGCTCCTCAAGGTCTCCGGGCAGGTAGTGATGAGGTTTTCAACTTCTCTTGAAAACCGCCTAGCATATCGGCTCTTATACCGACCAATACTTTTTTCTTTATTGCGTCCAAAATGCTGCAGAATATAGAGCAGCTGGTGAAATCAGGAT